TCATCGCTGTAACAAAACAATACCGCCACCCGCGTGCTAAAAAAACAACAATTTGCCCATTTACAGGGGTGACTCGGTGCCAAACCAGGTTTCCACGAAGTCACTGACCATTTACAAGAAATAGTCCGTGGCACGATAAACTTCCCCATAAATCATGTGTTGTTTCCACTTTTTTTTTTTTTTTTTAAAATATGGGGTGAAACAAAGAGATACTGAAGCTTTAAAAAGTTGGTGGTTTAGGTGGATTTTGTTACCTTTGTATAGAGCCAGGCTAGCTGTTTCCAGTCTTTATGCTAAGCATAGTTAAGCAGCTACTGGCTGTAGCTTCATATTTACTCAACACGTACTGTACAAGTGTGGTATTGAGCTTTTCGTTTAACTCTTTGCAAGGGAGAAAATGAGTGCATTTCCAAAAATATAAAATTATTGCTTGAAGACATGGCTTGCATGATAAATTAGTGCGTAAACATTCAGGTGGAATTTTGGTGTAAAACACTGAAGATGTAACACCTGTGTCACAATGTGTCCATTGTACACATAAAGGGGACACTGGAGTTGCTGATTTGTTACAATATTCAGCTAGGCAGTGATCTGAACGGTGTCTTGCCAAAGTTGAGATTTTACAGTCTGCTCAGTCGTTCTTTTAAGATTGTAAGAATTTCTTTGTTCGTCTTCTATTGTCTTTGTGAGTCAGCTGCTAGCTGAAGGGTGGGTGGTCCCAGCGGTCTATCACAGATCAGGCACAGGTTGCAGCAGCAGGGATCGGAGGGCGTACTTCCTCAAGCATTTGAGCTCTCATATTATCCATATCACTGGAATATTACAGTTGCTTTCTATTCTCACCGCACCCCGTACATCCTCCCCCCTGAAGACTGCAAAAAAAAAAAAAAAGAGCACAAGGAATACAACCCTGTAGGTTTCCAGGACTTCTAAGAGGTTCTACCACCATTTCTCGTAGAGGATTCTGTCTTTTGTGAGGCCGAAGTCCATGAGGGTTTTTGAAATTGCTTCAATCATGGGTGGGGGTCCGCACAGGAAACACAAAGTCCTCTGCGGGTCCACGTGAGCCCGCAACTCCTCCTCTGTGATTCTCCCACCTGGGGAGACACAAGGGAAGTGATTCAATTAATCAAGACTCAGTGCTGAGGCACCTCTCCCATGTGGAGCTTTGATAGTGCCTGTTCTACATGATGAGAGAGATAAATCAACAAAGACTGACTATGGTAGAATGTGACAGTCACTAGATCATTCCTGCTCAACAAAGAAAAGCGGATGGGTGTTACTTACGCTTGAGAAACGGAAGGAGGTGCGGGTCGACATCTGCGCTCTGTTGCGTGACGTGGAAGTCACACGTGAACTTGTCAGGGAACTCCCGACATGCTTCGATGATGGAGCTCTGGGAAGGCAGAAGGTAATAATACTTGCTGTAACAGAGTTTCTCCTTACATACTGCAACACACCTAGCACCATACTGCAGACATACACGTGGACACTGTTGTACATCTGGCAGAGATATTCAGCAAGTTTCCAAAACCACTGCACCAGTCAAATACAAGAACACACCTTAAAGAGCAGTTCCTGGGTGTTCTTGGCGCTGTAGCAGAGGTGGGCGGAGCCGATGTTGTAGTCCCGCCCGCCAGAAGCCTGGTTCAGATGCAGCAGATCTGTGGTGTGCAACAGGATGGAGTACAAGGGGTTGATCCCTACGCCGCCGGCTACCAGCAGCAGGTCCACGGAGGGGTCAGACGGCGACGGGTCGAAGAAGAAGTCTCCACCTACGCGCATGGCCACCCTGGAGCCGACTGTACACTGAGGGAAGAGAGAGTGATGAAAATAAAGAGAAATTAAAAAAGACACACATGAGATGGTACAAGGAGACAACAACAGACTGCTGGGCTGGGTAACTAAGTAGAGACCTGGGCTCCCAACATTTCTCTGCTAAGCTGCTGAAATGCACATTTTGAAATATGAAATAAATTCCAAGAAAAATACATGGAAGCTTAAGGAAAAAGTTAAAAAAAACAACAACTTCTAGATCAGCATGCAGACACACAACAAACCTTGGCTATGGTATGGGTGAAAGCAAAAAGTTGCACAGAGAAGGTCTTTTGAAGTCATAAAGAGAAGTAAATATGCCTCCACCTGCTTTTGTACACATGTGAGCACACGTACACACAAAAACGCTCGCGCTCTTAATCTGCTATTATGATCCTTACACTATTCCTGCTCGCAGAGAGGAGTCAGAGCGCAATATCAAACAAACAGATCATCAAACGATCCCAGAGCAGAGAGCTGTAAGTCTCCGAACACTCAAAACACATCACGGCGCTTTTCTGATACCTGTTTACACATGGCGTAGTAGCTCAAAGCTATTTTATTAAGGCCCATCATCAAACACAGAAGCTACAAACAAAGCGAAGTAAGAAAAATAAAAAGCTACCTTTCTGGAGCACGTCCTCGTAGACAAAATAAAATGTTGTGCACCAAGGACATCATATTTTTTGAGAGCAAAGACTGAACCAACCTCTCTTCAGCTCTTTCTCTCTCTCTCTCTATATATATATATATTTATATATTTATATTTGTATTATGCCTTTATTTATGTATACCCAGCCTTTATTTACCCTGTGTTGGCACAGAATGTCTTGTTCGACACACAATTAAAAACCAGCCTCTCGAGTTTTAGGCTTGTCTATCACAAGTCTACTTCGCTTGTCTTATCCTACTTTTCAACTCATTTTTAACTAAACCCTTAAACTCCCAATTACACATTAATTATCTAATGGGTTAAATGAACTAAATGTTTAAATGGGAGTGTATCAAACTTTAAATGTAACTTTTTAGTATAAGCAAGTGCCCACTGCTTCTGCAGCTTGGAAAAAAGAAAAGAAAAATAAAACAAATTCTGAAAATAATATCCGACTTGCCATTTTTCCTTTTCACGCTTCACTTTCTAGAATAACCAGTGGTGTGATTATGTGGTGGTCTTCATTTCCTAACACCATTTCTCAACACCCTGATGCTTTTGCTCCACCTGATTGCTTTTCTTGCGCTCTCACTGTGTCTCTCTCTCTCTCTCTCTCTCTCTCTCCCTCCCAATGCAATCTTCCAAACCATTAGACAGCCATGCGGACCAGAATCTACATTTCTTGACTATTCAGACTCCTCTGCAGCAATCTGCATGTTTTCAGTAACTGCCACGCTCACCGCGGTGTGGATCCAGTGTGCCGGGGGGTGTTTGGCGTATTTGACGGCGAGTTCAACGATGCCCTCCCTCTGCAGCAAACCCGGGCTGGAGCACATGGAGAAACCTCCCACCTTCTCCACACTGGGGATGAAGAAATCCACCCTGCACACACAACCACAACACACATTTAATTAATCAAATTAGTCAAATAATTTATTACATAGGTGGATGAACTCAAGACTGACATTTTGTTTACAGCATTGCAGAAGCTAAAGGTAAAAAGTTATAAAAAAATATCTATTCCCAGTGGTTGAAAATCTGTTCCTATTCTTCACTCTAACAAGACCAAGTCTGACCACTGATGTGTTTTTAACATAACTGCCCTGAAAGTTATTCTGATTGTGAATACAGCTGACGTTTCAGATCTAAAGAATAGTTCATTCAAGAGTAAAAACTGAACTTGAACTGAGGGGCAAAGTGTGAATGAAGGTAGCATGGTGCCCTTTGACCCCAGCGAAGGGGACAGCCGGTTCCAGAAACCAAGGAGAACAAAAACCAAACCAGATGGAAAGTTGCCTGCTAGTAACAAAGTGTAGCGTCCCAGTCTTACACCCAACACGGGCGCATCTGTCCATCAGCAAACAAGAGCAGAGTACCCCCCCAAAGGAAAACAGCAATGCTTAACAGTTGGGCTTATGTTCCACCAACACAATGACCCACTGTTACACTAGAGAGAGAGACACTGACTCCACAGCCCTCAGAGGCATCATAAATATGGATCTGCTGTGAAGACGCACACATATGTTCCACCCTCCTCCTCCTTCTCCTCCTCCTCTCCCACCTGGAGATGAACAACTAAACAGTCCTTTTTTTCTCAGAAACATTGAAACTCAAGGATTTCCATCTATTTACATTCATTATCAAGCGCTGCAGGGCAACTGGCTGCCGGTTTTATATCTCACCACCGCCCACCTACAGTATGGGCTCATGTGCATATACGCCATGAGCAGGGTACACTAATTAACATTGGCAGCACTGACTGACAGACTCTGCCTTCATCGAAGAAGTATTTAACTTGCTGTTATGATTATTAGAGTGTGTCTGGAAGTTAGCTTGAAAGATCACACATTTCCATGCACCAGTAAAAAATATATGAATAAAACAAGCCACTGTGTCTCAAGCACCTTTCAAGTTAAAGCTTGCAGCATGACTGCAACCCAGTGCAGAAAGCAGCTTCATAAACAAACCGATGAGCAAACTGGAGCTTATTCAGTGCCAAAATATTTGAAATTTAAATTGTTGTTTATCCTTATTTGGTTAAAAAAAAAGCTCTAAATGAGTCATGAGTTTTGATCCCTCCTTCAAAACAACAGGAATCTTGATCTGGCTCACATGTCCACTGTGATGAAGGATTTTAAACTCTTGTTTACTGCAAAAGTTTTGTGAGAATAAAAAAAACCATCGGACCAATGCTTGGATAAATCAACACGATGCCACCACCTTGTGGTTACTATGAGCAGTAGAGGCACTGTGTAAAGACTCCAGAGGGATGTTTCACAAAGCAGTCAGGTAGTAACACAGATATATTGTATTTTGGCGTTCTGCTTATTTTCTAACAAGAAAGTGTTACTGTAGTAACTTCTGAGACAAGTTTAAAAAGGCTAATGTTGCATTCATGTAATGATGGCAGAACATGCCAGCTATGGTGGCTTTGCAGCAGCTTTGTCAGATCTGTTGTCACATAAATGTGGGAGTAGGGGAGATGTTGTAAGCCTCGGAAATCCCTGACATCTCTGACTCAACGACGACTACGAAGGGTGATATGAGCGCATCGACAGCTCCTGATTGCAGTCTCAACAATATGACGTGAACACAGCATAAGCAAGACTTACCACTGTAATACTATTGTTCCCACAGCTCAACATCTTACATGAAAACACTGTAAAATAATGTATGTTAGCATTTCTAATAGAGAGGATGGTAATGAAAACCTTCCACTACCAGACTGCGTCCCTGTCTTCATAGGTTATGTAACTGCACGGTTGCCTTTTTCCAACTATAAATTTAGTCAAACTGCATTGTCAGCCCTTATTTTGTGACTGCAAACAACATCTTGTATTCTTTTGTGCCACTTCTAATTTGAGTGGTGCATTCCTCCGATGTTATTTTAATGCTTGGCAATATACAAGGCACAGTTAGTTGTCGTAAAAGCATGCACCTAAGCCAGAGTAACCTCTCTCACTGGTGCAATGCACAACACAGTGTGACTGCGTCCCTTAACCTCAGACAAAAATGAGTAGGTGAAAAGGTAACATGAGAATCTACTCACCACTGTCCTGCTTTGAAGCTGAAGTCTGGATGGACAGCTATCCTCAAACGTTTCACTGTCTCAGACTCATTTATGATGCCACATACCTCAGCTGGATACACAGCCTGTGTAAGCCAGCCAGTCAAGTACACACACACACACACAGAGAGAGAGAAGAGAGCAGATTAAGGTGGTTAATAATCGTATGAATGGACAGTGAGGAAACAATACTGTTAAAGAGTCAAGAAGAATGTATTCAATTACAAAATATCCTCTTACATTTTGTCTGGAGTTGCTCGCCGTTCTCTCTAGATGGTCCATTTGCCTTTTGGAGGACATATTTCTTCTAATAAAAGGAGATAGTTGTTGTCATTTGCCTTTCATGTCAACTTTTCTCTCACGCAGTGTGTGTCGAGCTACACCGCAGCCTTATGTGACAACAACATTCAAAACACATCAAGTGGACATTGCCCTCACCGCCCAGAAGCAACAAACAACTTAAAGGGACAGTTCACCGAAATTAACTTAGTATAACAGATTTTGTTATAAAAGTTTAAAAAATACATTTGAAAAACTACTGAATGTGAGTGGTGACAAACCTTTCAAAGGGTGATACAGAAAAATCTACACACATAAAATCTGATCTGTGTGGCTATGTAGTGCTGTGGGAGATTTGTGTGAAAAAGTGGCCCTTTGAGTTAAAACACACTTTAAAACCTGGCCAGTAGAATTGAATGGACAACTAAGCATTTCTCTGTACAATGTGAAATTACAGTTCAGTCAGTCAGCTGAGCAGCAGAGCAGAGAAAACAGAGCCGGTACATTCCTGATGAAACTCACCTTGTCTCGGAGCTGGGGCCCGGCAGCCGGCAGCAGAGCAGACCGGCGGTGGGTCGCGGGAAGCTTCGGGCAGCGGAGAACAAGAAGCAGGGGACGCTCATCGCGACCTGGGTTGATAAGAGACAACAGTGTGAGCTGCCAAGGTCGACAACCGCCACTAACACAAAACTGACACTTCACACACCCCCACCTTTTTCTTTCAGGTGTCTTTTGAGTGAATCAATCCGTCGTACAGCGGCTGTAGATTCAACAGCCCCCCCCCTTCAACAATGTGGTTCAGCTGAAACCGCTCAGGGAATAATCCAGACACAGCTAGCGCAATGCTTAACATTCATGTCAGGTAAGAGCCTCAAGACCGCTCTCTGCCGCCCACCGTGGCTGTCTTTAATGGACGAGGGTGAGGAGAGCAACTAAAACTACATAACGCGCCTGATATAAACGACTAGGTGTATATTTGTGATTGTTCTAAACGAGGTTTGGTGTAACCTCCTCCGTCGTGCTGCTGCTGGCTCACTGGCTACCGCTGACTATCAATGCCGGTATGTTATTTGACACATCATCAGACTGACAGACAACATCGAGCTGCTGGTCTCTTTTTCTTACCGAGATAAGATGGCACTCTGTTTATGTCAAAGGATGTTCATATTCCCTGCAGTATCTTCGGGATAACCTTGGTCATATTATGATTACATGACACTAAGGATGTCTTCTTCTGTTTCCTTGTTTCAGGTTGCGCTGCAGCTACCGTCTTCTTCTGCTACATGAGGCGCAACTTGGCGTTCAGTTTGTCCCAGTAGCGCCCCCCTCTGGACAGCTGGCTTATAGCTACAGCGATTATGGGACTATGTACCAAAGTACACTCAAGTCTTGTAGCTGCACCTTAATTGATGCAGTTTAGTAAATTACTCATTTTTCTGCTCATGTTTTGTGTAGGCCTAATTCCATTGCTACCCTATCAATAATATAGGGTTTTGCTGTTTTATATTTTTTCCACTGTTTTCCCTGTTTATCAAGTGGCATATAATTGTGCATATGAACGATACGGCAGCTTTTTTTGTCATTGAAATGAACGTTATTCACCTACTATTTCACAGTATTCTGCTGGCACTGCATGCACATATAGGGACATTTATCTATGAGGAGGTGAAAACTGCCGTTGATAACAACTCCCTACTGCCAATCCCTCTATCTGATTACACTGCAGACTATTGTCCATTGTCTCCAGCACTGGCACACACAAACTACCTCAGCTTTGTCCTTTCCAGAAATTAGAAGTGTCCTGGTGGAATGATTTAAGAATAATTTATAATAAGAACTTCTACAAACAGCAGAAACAGAAGAATCAGGTCTTTGAAAAGCATATCCACTTGTTGCTCCAAAAGGAGGTAAAGTAATATGGGGAAAAAACATGTCTTTTTTATCCTATATTTGAAGTGTTAGTAAGTGCTTCAAAAAAAAATATATATTGTTATTATTTGATTTATTTTTAGTATATATTTTGTTTTTTCAAATAGAATACAAACCACACATCCACACATTGACAATGCAAATTGCCACACATTAAATTATTATTTAATAAATATGTTTATAGAGAAGTGTTTTAAAGGTGATCCTTTATTGCAGTCATTTAAGTAATTGAAGTATAAGATTAATACACACACACACACACACACATCCAAGGATGATGATGTTGTGCCAGGCTTTGCAGTAGCAGGTTTACACCAGTAGGTCGCAGAAACAGACAACTGCTTGGAATTGTATCAGTTTAATAAGAAGGGAATTAAAGATGACAATCAATCTTTTGAAAAGGATGTTTAGTAACATTTTTGTATAAATCCTTTATCATCATTTATCTCTAAAATGGTTTTTAACACTTTGCAGCTGATGCCAATCAATTTTTTTTAGACACATAAAAATTGAGATATATATATATACCTCACCCGAAAAGTAGTTCAGTGCCAGTGGCAGCTCTGGCAACAAATATAACCTATTAATTTTACTGAATATCACCAAAGATGCCTAGCAAACAAGCCTATGATGAGACAATATTATACCCTGAAATATAACAAATACATCATCAAGAATATAATTTGGCTCCATCTGGTGGTCAAATAACAGAGATAGCTGTTTTGTAGTAAGAAGCAGTTTGATGAGAGAACTTTTCTGACAGTAATTCTGCTGCTTCCTCAGGCTGCTATTATGTTCAAATCTTTTAAAAAGTGTAGAGAACTTACATTCAGGTTGTCCTCTGTGATAAAACTTTGGTCATTAACTAAAAAAAAAAAAACTTTAAAAAAGTGTTCGTAGGTCAATCAAACTTTAAACTTGCTCTGACCCTGCAACTCTGTGAACTTAAGTGAGTAAAAGGTAATGCAACAGTGCATAAAACCTGCAGACGCACAAGAAGGGAAGTAAGGGAAGCTCTTCATGACACACTTTGTACAATGCTCTTAATGTGCTGGAATTATCTAGTTTTAAAATTAAATCTTTGGTTTTACTTTCTTTAACTTGTAATATAGTTACATTTTATAGCTTAAGTTATGTCGTGGAACAAAATATACCATCTGTCACATTTGGAAAAAAATGTTTTATCTAATTTTAAAAGTCCAGTGTGTAACATTTAGAGGATCTATTGGCAGAAATGGAATATGATAGGTATGTTTTCATTCGTGTATTATCACCTGATTAAATGAATTGTTGTGTTTCTGTTACCTTAGAATGAGCCTTTTATATCTACAGATGCTGCGGGTCGCCTTCCATGGAGTCCGCCATGTTGAACCGCCATGTTTCTACAGTACCCCAGAAAAGACAAACCAAACACTGGCTTTAGGGCCTTTTTGTGTGTGTAGTTTCTCCTACACACTTCATAGCCCATTCTCATTCCCAGGTTATCAAATACAGAAGCCAGCAGTGTTCAGTTAGTTACAATCTGCAACTTAGATGCCACCAAATCCTTCAAACACTCGTCCTTTAAACCTGCTTAATGGGATTGTTGGCAAAATGTGTGTGTTTTCAGTGGTTAAAATAAGTAAGTAAGGAAGGCCTTGATGCAGGTCTTTGTGATTGTGTTTTTTATTTCTGGCGTTACAAGGAAATGTTGTCACCAGTAAAACAGAAAGATAACAATAATGACAATTCTCCATGATGAAGGGCAAACAGGCTAGTTTAGGTTTAGGAATTTTGGTTTGAAGTTACAGTTGGAATAAGGCAGCTTAACATCATGCATGTAGTGGTGTGGTTAAAGCTCAAGGTTTATAGAAAGTACAGTTAAGTCAACTAAATATGTGTGCATAGCTGCATGTTTACATATGTTCTTCTGTTTGTCTGTTTGTTAAGAATAGTGCTTGAGAGAAAGACACAGAAAACACAAAGAAAATAGACAGTAACTGTTGGATTCCTTACTGCATTCCTTTAGCGTCTGCGGTGCTAATCACAGGTGCATTTCAGCTGCTTTACTCATACTTTATTAACTCCAGAAGAAGGAAACCGGCTAAACAATGCAATCCTCAAATCAAGCACACAATGCAATACATCGAAACTCATTCCATTCATGTGAACAGAACTCGGCCTGCTCCACCCAAATGCTCCGCAAGAGAGACAATTGTTTATTTGTTTAGTTTGCACAATTCCTGCTACAATTTGACCCACACCACCCTTGTTGTGAGCTGGAGCGTATACATTTGTTTACATGTGGTTAAAATGCCAAGAAGGGTTCGTCTAAGAAGGAAACCAGGTCTGTTCTCATGTGTCGTTGCTATCCTTAGATACAGTAGCAACTTACTTCCTTCGAGAGGTTTTTGTTAGCTGACTCTACCAGTTCAACTGGCTGCCTTCCTGTCTCTTTCCCATGCTTAGCACACCTTGGTTTAACCTGTTGTTCAATACTGCACAATGACAAAAAGAGATTTTCAGGTTTAACACTTCACAATGACTTACAGGACTAGTACGCACATGGCACGTGCGTGATGCAAGCAAATTATCGTCATCATACACAAAAACACGAGCATAGACCGGCGTACGTAGTGTGCATCTGAATCAACGTAAGTATTTATGCATGGCTGAATGAGTCACTTTGTCTCTCAATGCTAATATGTCACAACCTATGACCTTGCAAATAGCAGCTATAATTATAAATATCATGATCAGGTTTTTTTGAGATTTGAAAAATGATTACTGACACAAACTGCATGCTGATAATAATTGCATTCAAGTTACAAACAATAAATAAAAAGAAAAGTTTGACTTAATGTATCTGCCATAAATTGGATGACATAAAATGTTTTTACATTGACAGTCAAAAAGTAGCAGTTTCAAAGCAGATCATCTGTATTTCAAAGCCACCGAAAGTAAACTCTCCATCCTTGTGTATGGCTGGTTCTCCCTCACAACAGTGTGTGGTTGTTAGGGAGAAAAAAATGTTGATTCACACAGGTTGTAATGAAAGTAAGTCAACTATTTCCGAGACAGAAACAGATACAGGTGGAGGGTATTACTGCACCTTATGCCATCCCTAGTTACTGTTTGCCTCTACAACATCACTTAGTTTTCTACACACATTCCCCACATACCTCTCGGTCTCAATGGGCAAATACTCAAATTTCACCCTGAGGAAATCCAAATCCAAAACTGGAACATGTTCAATGAGACATATGGTCTCAGGGCGGAGAGAGTGATGTTTGTAGTGCAGGTCTATCGAAAAGTCAGCATGGATGTTTTCTTTATCTGTATAAGTTAATGATCGACTTTCAGTGAGACTACCTGTGTTTAATAGAGGGGAAAGCAGATTTGGAGATATGAGTTGGAGAGGCAGAGCAAAACTGAGAGGAGACATAATAAGAAAATATCCTGTGATTGTTGTGATGTTGTTAAGCAACATAATAAGGATGCTGTGGGTGAGTAGGATATCTCTGGATTTTCACATCGCCCCTATAGTCCGATAAGATAAAATGTTTTTATCTTGAGCTTACATCTTGCACATGGGCACAAGATAATGACTTGTAATAACTTGTTTGTACATGATACAAGAGATCACCATACAGAATTTTAGGGGCTATGTAGGTTTTATATTCCTGGCTGGACTAAACTCTATATCATTTTGTGAACAATTTTCACTTTTTTCAGATATTTTACAAACCAATAAATCTTGTGATCAGAGAAGAAATCAACAGATTATAAGATAGTGAAAATGATCACTACATAAAATGACTGTACTGTCATCTGCATCACCTACAACATGTATTTATGTGTGGAAATATGTATGCATTTGAGTGTCCATTGCATTTATGCTTACCTGTATGTGTGCGCAGGTAGGATAAAGTACAATGAAGCATAGCCTTCTGTGTGTGGTGGAGCGTGCCAGTGAGTTTCGACTGGAATGGAAGATGGGAGGTGAGGGAGTCCCCCAGGTATGCAGGCCACCGACAGTTGCCGGAGAGAGAGACAGAGACAGACACGGCACAAATTCCTGTTATCACAGCAACTTTCACTCTAAACTTTAGAGGAGGGAGACAAAAGGCATTCCCTGATTCCTCCCTCGTATCTCTGTTTCTGTATTATCTCTGTTTTGCTGCTCGGCCCACACTG